AGAGGTGGGCATCATTAACGTGCAGGATAGAGACTCTGAGAATAACAGACAGGTCCGCTGCTCCATTCAGCAAAACGTCCCTTTTAAGTTGGTTCCTTCTATTAAAAACTATTATTCTCTGGTGACCACAGGACAACTGGACCGTGAACTAGTGTCTGATTACAACATAACAATCACTGCCACTGACGAGGGCTCTCCCCCTCTGTCCTCCTCTAAAACTGTTCAGTTATCTGTAGCAGACATCAACGACAACCCACCTGTGTTTGAGGAGCAGTCCTACAGCGCATATGTGACTGAAAACAACAAACCTGGCTCCACTTTATGTTCCGTTACTGCTCGAGACCCCGACTGGAGACAAAACGGTACCGTGATTTATTCTCTGTTACCCGGTGAGGTGAACGGTGCCCCGGTGTCCTCCTATCTGTCTGTTAACGGAGACACGGGGGTGATCCACGCTGTGAGGACGTTTGATTATGAACAGTTCAGGAGTTTTAACGTCCACGTGATGGCCAGAGACAACGGTTCTCCTCCGCTCAGCAGCAACGTGACCGTCAGTGTGTTCATATCGGATGTGAATGACAACTCTCCTCAGATACTGTACCCCGCTCCGGAGGGCAACTCCTTCATGACCGAGCTGGTCCCCAAAGCTGCACACGGAGGCTCTCTGGTGTCCAAAGTGATCGCGGTGGACGCGGACTCCGGACAGAACGCCTGGCTGTCCTATCATATAGTCAAATCCACTGATCCGGGACTTTTCACTATTGGTCTCCACAGCGGAGAGATCAGGACACAGCGGGACATTTCTGAGTCTGACAGCATGAAACAGAACCTTGTTGTGTCAGTGAAAGATAACGGACAGCCCTCTCTCTCTGCCACCTGCTCCATGTATTTACTTATCTCTGATAACTTGGCTGAGGTGCCAGAACTGAAGGACATTTCTTATGATGAGAAGAACTCCAAACTGACCTCTTATCTGATCATCGCGCTGGTGGCCGTGTCCACCTTTTTCCTCACCTTCATCATCATCATCCTGGGTGTGAGGTTTTGCCGCAGGAGAAAGCCCAGACTGTTGTTTGATGGAGCAGTCGCCATCCCCAGCGCTTATCTCCCTCCTAATTACGCAGATGTTGACGGAACAGGAACTTTACGCAGCGCTTACAATTATGACGCCTACCTGACAACAGGTTCCAGAACCAGTGACTTTAATTTCGTGTCATCTTACAATGACAACACACTGCCTGCTGACCAGACTCTGAGGAAAAGCCCTTCAGACTTTGCTGAAGTGTTTGGAGACTGTGATTCTTCTCCTGAGGTAGGAATTGTTGTGACTTAATGTTGACATCTATATTTGCAACATGGGATCAAGCTGCTCAGATATGTTTTTGCCGTTCTCTTTCTTTAAACAACTATTTTAGACAATGTAAAGTTGTGGGAATAAATGTAACTTCCTCCCCTGAGGTAGGGACTATAACCCTATAATGAAAGTTGTGTTCATCGTCCTGAAGTAGCTGGAATTGTCTTCCCTTCTTTTATCCAGATACATTTTCCCTTTGGAGTGTTAAGAGGTATAAATACGTAGACCAACTTCTTTCAATTACTTAATTAAAACAATTTATAACATGTTTTCCTTTCTAACATTATATTCTTAATGAGTTTTACTTTGAACAGCAGGACATTTATGAACTCAAGGCATTGTTTTTAATTAATTGTGTATACGTCCAATGCCATCCTATTTGTCATCATTTTCGTCAACAAAGTTTTTCAGATTTCAAAATCGATTTGACTTCAAGCAGAGTACCATTTTAGTTTGTGTACAATTAAGATGTAACCTTGTGCTCATTAGTTCAAGTTTTTGTTTAGTGTTCATTTATTACAGTTGCTGATTTTGGTTTTACATTTATTAAATATTAATAGATTCTTGACACTTGGAAAATGTTGGTTTAGTCATGGCAATTTTATGTTTTCAGTTGAAGTCAGCAGTCTTTTTCTTCTATTGCAGTATATTTTCTATTTTATTATTTACAGGATTGACCGATTTGCTAAATGTTTCTGCCAGAAACCTCTCTCAAAAAAAAACCGTATTATTTATTTATGTCTTAATCTTTTAATATGCATTCTTGTGCCACTGATTAATGGTAATTTTCAAACTGAGCTTTGTTAAACTTAACCTATAAGGTTTCTCCTTCTAGAAGTTTGCTTGGATGGGATGTCATTTGTACATTGCCTCGTTCAAAAGTGTCTGCCACATGAATACATTTAAAGTTGTATATTGATCTTGCACTTAAGGTCATAGTACACATCCTATTGATATCTAACAGGCTGATTTACATACGTTAACAACGGAATCACTCACAACGTATTGACATGATTGTCTATTTGTGGTTCTTCAGTTGGAGAGTATTACCTAGAATGCGTGCTTTGCATTTGAATCCAGTCCAAGCCGCTTGAGTTTGTTCTGCTGATTGCTCTCTCATCTCACTTTCTTGGGAGGAATATGTTTACAGTAAACAAAAACAAACAAACATATCATTCAGTTTGTGTTTTCACTGTGAGGATCCTGGCTTGGTTATGTGTTGTAGACTATTTAAAATAGTTGATTAGATTATGAAGGAATTGACAGAACATCACTTTGTCCGTGAAGATACAGTCCGAGTTTCACACCGGTTGTAGGCAGGTCATGCTGTCCGATTAAGGGACTTTCTCTTCCAGGTTGTCTTAATAGTTTTTCTAGTGCATTAGTCTTGTTAACTGCTGTACTGCCTGATTGTTTTCTGTGGGATTACCAAATTAAAAGCAATACATCTATACCAATATTTTTGTTTCTAGGCTATATGCTGCCAGATCTGCTTGTTTTATTATCGTTTTTTTTATATAGTCAGAGTTGGCTCTAATCCATCTGCTTTTTCCTTGTTGATACATGTTGACAAACTCAATAAAGTATCTCTATTCTTTGATGATTACCCCCGTTTTAGAAGAGGATTAGGCCCAATTGAATCAGTATTTTACTGTGTGTGGTAGGGCTCTGCGATCACCCTAAAACAGCATATTCTCTATAGATCCACAGTGTTATACAAGTCCATAGTGTCACAGTGCAGGCAGTTTTTAAGGGTCATGGACTTTGTTCTTAAGAAACAAAAACACACACACAGCCTTTTTATCTGTGTGTGTGTGTGTGTGTGTGTGTGTGTGTGTGTGTGTGTTCATGTGATTTTCTCTTTTGAATTTCCTATGTTTTCAGGCCAATATGTTTAAATGTCTGGGCTCATTTCTCTGTCCTTGGTGCTGAACAGCTGATGCACCTTTTTGTTTAGTTCTCTTCACACTTTCATCAACTTCACACCATTACTATGGTTTCTCTCTGTCTTTCACTATATGTCCCTTTCTGTCAAATGTTCCATCAGAATAAAGTCTGAGTTTCATGCAGGTAGTTTGGACAGGTATACAGAAGGAAATACTTTCTCTTTCAGGTTAGATAGTTTTTCTGGGACATGTATTTTAGTAAAGTTTCTTCTGCCTGATGTTTTTAACTTGGATTTATTGTGTTTTAGTAATGTGTATTAACTGCAGGAGCCATGACACGTACAAAGTCATGCATTTTGAATATACACATTTGTTTTGTACTGGTTTGTATTATTATAAGATATGTGTTAGATCGCTATGGGTTGGTTGCTTTGGGTCACATGGTTATGGGCAGCACTCAGGGGAGTAATCATCCTGTTGACTTGCGTGAGGTGTGTATCTGTGTGGCAGAGAGGGTGACACGGGGTCGTTGTACTTTTTGTGCAAGTTTAATGATTGCTTTGATTATCATAACAATGTCTATGTCTAAGGAAAATAAGTTGATCATCCCAGTTTTCATTATTATTCAACAGAGTTTTGATCTCAGCGTGTCAAAGAGCAAACAGGCCCAGCCTCGGCCTCTCAGCCACTTTGTTTGTTTCCTGCTGTCGCTATAAACTGTTGTATATGCTATGCTGCCTGGCCTGATTGTCTTTATTTAATTTTGGAGTTGGATTGTAGATACACATTCAGAAATTGCATAATTAATTTCTACTCTGATTAAAGGAGTTTTCCCTCTTTCCAGGAGAGGGGAAAAGATAGCTATTGTCTTTGTGTGTTCATATGACTGCTCTTTATGTCCTCTGTTTTCAAGTATGTTTGAGTGTCTCGGCTCATTCCTCTGTTCTCGGTGCTGAACTTCCCTTTTCCTTTCGGATGCTTTTTATTCAAGTTTCCCACACTTTCACTTTTTATTACAACACTATACTACTTTGGTTTCTCCCTGATTTCGAATATACCAAAAGGAAATAAGAAAGTAAAAATGAAGGTTAATGTTGTGATCAAACCACTGGGATACATTATGACTGGTTAAAGCTGTAAGTACAATATGTAAACTTATAAACATCTACATTTTGTATTTATAAACATGTAACAGATTGTCACATAAATAATCCTTTGAACATTTTACAGACAGCTACAGACTCAGGTGCTCGGTTTTCCAAACGTTCACAACCCTGCAAATGTGACAATAATGGTTATAATGAATATGTTCTTTATTAGGAAATGTAGTTTCACCTTTTTTTCAAAACAAGGAAAACAAATAATTAATATAAACGTTTATTAAAAAAAATACTGGCTTCTCGGTTAGCATGACACCCTGTCTTAAGAAGAGTATAGACTGGATACTCACAAGAACTAAACATAAGTAAAAACAATAATTTCATGAATTGATATGCAAGACAAGATATTAATGAAAGGCATAGCCTGCATATGCCTAATGTAACAAGTGCTTGTTGACACTGCTTCCTTGTTAAACCTAAAGGATTACTGCGGTTGCACATATTTATTGTGTTTCATAATATTTATCTATTTAATTAACAGATTATAAGAAGTTTAACGCAGGATATGCTCAATTTGAAACCTTCCATTTTGTACTTTTTTTAAATGAGTATTCTTGAAAACCTCAAGGTGGCGCTATATACCCGCTTTAAGATGTCTTCCTGCTTCCTTTGGTGTGGACGTTCATTATTGTTCTCCTATCTATAGGACAGTCAGTAGTTGCTATTCGTGTTATGTGGATGAGCTGTCTTTGTTCGCTTTTTTTTTAGCCTGTTAGTAATTAATTGTCGATGATGGATTCCAACATAATCTCGTTTCAAACGTGTGGCTTCTTTTTCCTCCTTATTTTCCTGGATCCCGTGTATGGAGACATGAGCTACTCTTTTCCAGAGGAAATGAAACGAGGGTCGGTTATTGGAAATATGGCCAAGGATCTCGGGCTGGAAAGGAGCGCGCTCTCTAACAGAAGAGCCCGCATTGGCAGCGATGGGACTGATGAACGTTACTGTGACATAAACCTGAATAACGGAGAGTTGATTGTTGCCGACAGGATTGACCGAGAGGGGCTTTGTGGAGAAAAGGCTTCGTGCATCCTAAAATACGAGCTGGTGCTGGAGAATCCTCTCGAGCTCCATCGGATTAGTCTTCACATTCAAGATAAAAATGATAATTCGCCACAATTTAAGGAAGAATTTATAAATATTGAAATTCATGAGTCGGCAGACAAGGGAGCTCGTTTTGTGCTGGAAGATGCGCACGATGCGGATGTTGGACAGAATTCAGTTCAGCAGTACAGCCTAAAAAATAATGATAATTTCATTTTGTCTGTTGATGGAAACACAATAGAGCTTGTTCTTGAAAAGGAGCTTGATCGTGAAAATCAGCAAGAGATTAATTTGCTCCTCACAGCTTTAGATGGAGGCTCTCCTCAGAGATCAGGTACTGTAGTCATACACGTCACTGTGCTGGATGCTAATGATAACGCCCCAGTGTTTAGCCAGGCCGTCTATAAAGCCAGTCTGCCTGAAAACTCTCCTGTAGACACTGTAGTTGTCACAGTGAGCGCTACTGATGCAGACGAGGGAGTCAACGGAGATGTGACGTATGAATTTGGACATGTGACTGAAGATTTCAAGAAGATATTTAGTATTGATAGAAAAGTTGGTGAGATACGAGTAATTGGTCCTGTTGATTATGAAACTACCAAATCATTTGAAATACGAGTTAAAGCAAAAGATGGGCTCGGGCTGTCATCTTATGCCAAGGTTATCATTGATATCACTGATGTGAATGATAACGCCCCTGTTATCAGTTTAACATCCCTGACTAACCCCATACCTGAGAACGTGTCACCTGGTGCAGAGGTGGGCATCATTAACGTGCAGGATAGAGACTCTGAGAATAACAGACAGGTCCGCTGCTCCATTCAGCAAAACGTCCCTTTTAAATTGGTTCCTTCTATTAAAAACTATTATTCTCTGGTGACCACAGGACAACTGGACCGTGAACTAGTGTCTGATTACAACATAACAATCACTGCCACTGACGAGGGCTCTCCCCCTCTGTCCTCCTCTAAAACTGTTCAGTTATCTGTAGCAGACATCAACGACAACCCACCTGTGTTTGAGGAGCAGTCATACAGCGCATATGTGACTGAAAACAACAAACCTGGCTCCACTTTATGTTCCGTTACTGCACGAGACCCCGACTGGAGACAAAACGGTACCGTGATTTATTCTCTGTTACCCGGTGAGGTGAACGGTGCCCCGTTGTCCTCCTATCTGTCTGTTAACGGAGACACGGGGGTGATCCATGCTGTGAGGACGTTTGATTATGAACAGTTCAGGAGTTTTAAAGTGCACTTGATGGCCAGAGACAACGGTTCTCCTCCGCTCAGCAGCAACGTGACCGTCAGTGTGTTCATATCTGATGTGAATGACAACTCTCCTCAGATACTGTACCCCGCCCCGGAGGGCAACTCCTTCATGACCGAGCTGGTCCCCAAAGCTGCACACGGAGGCTCTCTGGTGTCCAAAGTGATCGCGGTGGACGCGGACTCCGGACAGAACGCCTGGCTGTCCTATCATATAGTCAAATCCACTGATCCGGGACTTTTCACTATTGGTCTCCACAGCGGAGAGATCAGGACACAGCGGGACATTTCTGAGTCTGACAGCATGAAACAGAACCTTGTTGTGTCAGTGAAAGATAACGGACAGCCCTCTCTCTCTGCCACCTGCTCCATGTATTTACTTATCTCTGATAACTTGGCTGAGGTGCCAGAACTGAAGGACATTTCTTATGATGAGAAGAACTCCAAACTGACTTCTTATCTGATCATCGCGCTGGTGTCCGTGTCCACCTTTTTTCTCACCTTCATCATCATCATCCTGGGTGTGAGGTTTTGTCGCAGGAGAAAGCCCAGACTGTTGTTTGATGGAGCAGTCGCCATCCCCAGCGCTTATCTCCCTCCTAATTACACAGATGTTGACGGAACAGGAACTTTACGCAGCGCTTACAATTATGACGCCTACCTGACAACAGGTTCCAGAACCAGTGACTTTAAGTTCGTGTCATCTGACAATGACAACACACTGCCTGCTGACCAGACTCTGAGGAAAAGCCCTTCAGACTTTGCTGAAGTGTTTGGAGACTGTGATTCTTCTCCTGAGGTAGGGACACAACCCATATCTTAAAATGTGTGTTCATCCTCCTGAAGTAGCTCTTTCCTGCTTTGTTCAGATTAATTTCTCCTTTGTAGTGTTTAGAGGTATATAAATACACGCACAGCAACTTTTGTCAAATGTTTTATGAATAAATAAATACATTCAAACACAGTTTCCTTTAAACATGTTATTCTTAGTGAATTGCACATTAATAGCTGGATAAACTCAAGGATTTGTTTTAATGCTTCTTCAGTTGTGTTGCATTATTGTCATTGTGTGTTTGTATCCCTTGTTTCAGTCCATGTGCCTTCTGTGTTAAGCAGCTATTGCAAAGGTTTGTGTTTTATAAAATTATGTTTCCTGAACAAGCTTGTTGTTCAGATTTTGAAATATTTTATTTCAACCGGTTCCTTTTTTTTCGTACAGTAAATAACTAACCTTAGGTTTATTAGATCAGAGTTTTGCTCGTTGTTAATTTACGTCACTTGATCATTTTTGTTTTCAATCAAATTACGTAAATGAATCGATTCTTGAAACATATAAATTAGTTATACGAGAGTGAACTTGTCATGGAAATGTTTAGTTTTTATTCAAAGTCATCAGAGTTTTCATATTGTCAAAAGTATTTTTTCTAAATCTTTCAGATTGTCTGTAATGTTGTCATTTACTGTGGCTGATAGTTATTGGAGATGTCTTGTTATCTTTTGGTCAGCATAAATTAAGTTGATTGCTGATGTTGAGCTGGGACATTGGGCTATTCTTTTTGAGTTATTGGATTGGAAGTCATTTGCACATTGCTTTGGTAAAATGTGTCTGCCACATAAATACATTTACACGTTGATCTTACTCTTGAGGCCAGAGTATAAATCTTATAATATTATCCAGCAGATGTTTTATTATATACATTAACAGCGGAACAACTGGCAACTTACTGACTTGCTGATGCTACTAATTCTCGTTATTTAGAATGAGAGCATAACCAGTAGGCTATGTGTGTTTTGCATTTGAGTCCAGTCCACACCACTTCAGATTATTCTGCTGATTGCTTTATCTTCTAACTACTGTTGTTGTGAGAAAAACATGTTGACACTAAAAACAAAAAACAATACATATTATTGAGTCTGTCTTTTCACTGTGAGAATCCTGGCTTGGTTGTGTTTTGTAGACCTATTATGATAGATTTTCAGATTCTAACTTGACAGAACATCACTTGTTCATCAATATGCACTCCCAGTTGCACACAGGTAGTTTGGGCAGGTCATGCTGACAGAGTAAGGGACTTTCTTTACTTGTTCTAGTCTATTAGTATTTGCAACATGCTTTCCTGCCTGATTTTTTTCTGTGGGTTTACGGGGTTAAAAGTGATGAGCCTTAATTTGTTTCCTGGTGGTGCTGCCCAGTCTTGTTGTTTTTCATATTGTCGTCAGAGCTGGATCTAATGCATCTATTGTTATCTTGTTGATAAACATTGACAAACTGTATGATTTATCTCTAATCATTGATGGTATTAAGGAGGGTATCCAGCCTCTTTGTACAAAAGGGCAGAGACTGGATCAATGCATATTTTACTGTTTATGGTGTGGTCAAGCTTTGGGATCATCTTGAATCATACTTTCTGTACATCTGCAGTGTTTTACACGTCTATAGTACACTTGGTACAGGATGATTTTAAGGGTTGTGGTATTTTTTGTTGAACAGGACACTGCTCTTTATGTCCTCTGTTTTCGGACAGAAATGTTTGACTGTGTGATAATTGTCCTTGGTGCTGAACAGCTGATAGGGGCTTTTTGTTTAGTTTCTCCAACTTAAAACTAAACATACTTTGATCTCTCCCTGCAGTCATTTAAATAAACCAAGCAATTTAGGAAATCCAAATGAAGTTAATGTTATCAAAACATTAACAGAGCCTAATGACTGGGTTAAGATGAAGGAAACAATATATAACTATAACAAAATGTGAATTGTTAAATCTTTAAAGGTGGAGTCTCATTGTTCCAAATAAATAATTTCCTTTAAAATATAAAAAGCTACTTCCCCGTTTAACCCAACTGAAGATCCACGTGCGCTGTATTCCACATGTTTACAACCCTTCAGATGTGCTTATCTTGACTATAGTCATTTCTGCAAATGTAGTTTTACTACTTTGAAAAGCAGGGGGAAAACATCCTTATTTGCAGCATTACTAACAAGTCAATAAAAGTATGTTGATGTATTTTTATTTCATTTATATAGTTGGCTGCACAGGATACTATCAGATGATATAAACAGTAAATAATAGAACAAGTCTAAACAACAGTATATATGGACTGTATCATCAGAGTTACAAAACACACAATTTAAAACAAATCAGACATACGTTTATATGCAAGAAATAAGTAGAATATTCAAAGCCAACATTGTGTACTGGGACACTCGTTGACTTTATAAGTTTCCTGGTTTAATGGATAAATGATGTTTCGAATATTTGTTTTACATTATCATAGTTGTATCCAGAAGAGAACCGCAGGATGTGGTCAATTTAAAACCTTTTTTGTAAGTGTTGTCGTCAAAATTAACTCACGGTGGCGCTATATGCCTGCTTTAAGATGATTGGATTCCTTTTCCTTCTGTGTGGACGTTCATTATTCTGCTCTTGTGCCTACATAGAGACAGTCACCCTGGATTTGCTGTTCCTTGTGTTAGGCTATGTAGTTGAGCTGTCTTTATTCTCTCTTTTCTTCAATCTGTGGAATTTATAGTCGATGATGGATTCCAACGTAATCTCGTTTCAAACGTGCGGTTTCTTCGTAGTGGTTTATTTCATGCATGCTGCGTATGGAGACTTGAGCTACTCTTTTCCAGAGGAAATGAAACGAGGATCAGTTATTGGAAATATGGCCAAGGATCTCGGGCTGGAAAGGAGCGCGCTCTCTAACAGAAGAGCCCGAATTGACAGCGATGGGACTGATGAACGTTACTGTGACATAAACCTGAATAACGGAGAGTTGATTGTTGCCGACAGGATTGACCGAGAGGGGCTTTGTGGAGAAAAGGCTTCGTGCATCCTAAAACACGAGCTGGTGCTGGAGAATCCCCTCGAGCTCCATCGGATTAGTCTTCACATTCAGGATATTAATGATAACTCGCCACAATTTAAGGAAGAACTTATAAATATAGAAATGCACGAATTGGCAGGTAAGGGAGCTCGTTTTGTGCTCGAGGAGGCGCACGATGCGGATGTAGGACAAAATTCAGTTCAGCAGTACAGCCTCAAAAATAATGATAATTTCATTTTGGCTGTTGATGGAAACTCAATAGAGCTTGTTCTTGAAAAGGAGCTTGATCGTGAAAATCAGCAAGAGATCAATTTGCTCCTCACAGCTTTAGATGGAGGCTCTCCTCAGAGATCAGCTACTGTAGTCATACACGTCACTGTGCTGGATGCTAATGATAACGCCCCAGTGTTTAGCCAGGCCGTCTATAAAGCCAGTTTGCCTGAAAACTCTCCTGTAGACACTTTAGTTGTCACAGTGAGTGCTACTGATGCAGACGAGGGAGTCAACGGAGATGTGACGTATGAATTTGGACACGTGACTGAAGATTTCAAGAAGATATTTAGTATTGATAGAAAAGTTGGTGTGATACGAGTAATTGGTCCTGTTGATTATGAAACTATCAAATCATTTGAAATACGAGTTAAAGCAAAAGATGGTTTAGGGCTGTCATCTTATACCAAGGTTATCATTTATATCACTGATGTGAATGATAACGCCCCTGTTATCAGTTTAAAATCCCTGACTAACCCCATAACTGAGAACGTGTCACCTGGTGCAGAGGTGGGCATCATTAACGTGCAGGATAGAGACTCTGAGAATAACAGACAGGTCCGCTGCTCCATTCAGCAAAACGTCCCTTTTAAGTTGGTTCCTTCTATTAAAAACTATTATTCTCTGGTGACCACAGGACAACTGGACCGTGAACTAGTGTCTGATTACAACATAACAATCACTGCCACTGACGAGGGCTCTCCCCCCTCTGTCCTCCTCTAAAACTGTTCAGTTATCTGTAGCAGACATCAACGACAACCCACCTGTGTTTGAGGAGCAGTCATACAGCGCACATGTGACTGAAAACAACAAACCTGGCTCCACTTTATGTTCCGTTACTGCTCGAGACCCCGACTGGAGACAAAACGGTACCGTGATTTATTCTCTGTTACCCGGTGAGGTGAACGGTGCCCCGGTTTCCTCCTATCTGTCTGTTAACGGAGACACGGGGGTGATCCACGCTGTCAGGTCGTTTGATTATGAACAGTTCAGGAGTTTTAAAGTGCACGTGATGGCCAGAGACAACGTCTCTCCTCCGCTCAGCAGCAACGTGACCGTCAGTGTGTTCATATCGGATGTGAATGACAACTCTCCTCAGATACTGTACCCCGCCCCGGAGGGCAACTCCTTCATGACCGAGCTGGTCCCCAAAGCTGCACACGGAGGCTCTCTGGTGTCCAAAGTGGTCGCGGTGGACGCGGACTCCGGACAGAACGCCTGGCTGTCCTATCATATAGTCAAATCCACAGATCCGGGACTTTTCACTATTGGTCTCCACAGCGGAGAGATCAGGACACAGCGGGACATTTCTGAGTCTGACAGCATGAAACAGAACCTTATTGTGTCAGTGAAAGATAACGGACAGCCCTCTCTCTCTGCCACCTGCTCCATGTATTTACTTATCTCTGATAACTTGGCTGAGGTGCCAGAGCTGAAGGACATTTCTTACGATGAGAAGAACTCCAAACTGACCTCTTATCTGATCATCGCGCTGGTGGCCGTGTCCACCTTTTTCCTCACCTTCATCATCATCATCCTGGGTGTGAGGTTTTGCCGCAGGAGAAAGCCCAGACTGTTGTTTGATGGAGCAGTCGCCATCCCCAGCGCTTATCTCCCTCCTAATTACGCAGATGTTGACGGAACAGGAACTTTACGCAGCGCTTACAATTATGACGCCTACCTGACAACAGGTTCCAGAACCAGTGACTTTAATTTCGTGTCATCTTACAATGACAACACACTGCCTGCTGACCAGACTCTGAGGAAAAGCCCTTCAGACTTTGCTGAAGTGTTTGGAGACTGTGATTCTTCTCCTGAGGTAGGAATTGTTGTGACTTAATGTTGACATCTATATTTGCAACATGGGATCAAGCTGCTCAGATATGTTTTTGCCGTTCTCTTTCTTTAAACAACTATTTTAGACAATGTAAAGTCGTGGGAATAAATGTAACTTCCTCCCCTGAGGTAGGGACTATAACCCTATAATGAAAGTTGTGTTCATCGTCCTGAAGTAGCTGGAATTGTCTTCCCTTCTTTTATCCAGATACATTTTCCCTTTGGAGTGTTAAGAGGTATAAATACGTAGACCAACTTCTTTCAATTACTTAATTAAAACAATTTCTAACATGTTTTCCTTTCTAATATTCTATTCTTAATGAGTTGCACTTTGAACAGCAGGACATTTATTAACTCAAGGCATTGTTTTTAATTAATTGTGTATACGTCCAATGCCATCCTATTTGTCATCATTTTCGTCAACAAAGTTTTTCAGATTTCAAAATCGATTTGACTTCAAGCAGAGTACCATTTTAGTTTGTGTACAATTAAGATGTAACCTTGTGCTCATTAGTTCAAGTTTTTGTTTAGTGTTCATTTATTACAGTTGCTGATTTTGGTTTTACATTTATTAAATATTAATAGATTCTTGACACTTGGAAAATGTTGGTTTAGTCATGGCAATTTTATGTTTTCAGTTGAAGTCAGCAGTCTTTTTCTTCTATTGCAGTATATTTTCTATTTTATTATTTACAGGATTGACCGATTTGCTAAATGTTTCTGCCAGAAACCTCTCTAAAAAAAAAAAACGTATTATTTATTTATGTCTTAATCTTTTAATATGCATTCTTGTGCCACTGATTAATGGTAATTTTCAAACTGAGCTTTGTTAAACTTAACCTATAAGGTTTCTCCTTCTAGAAGTTTGCTTGGATGGGATGTCATTTGTACATTGCCTCGTTCAAAAGTGTCTGCCACATGAATACATTTAAAGTTGTATATTGATCTTGCACTTAAGGTCATAGTACACATCCTATTGATATCTAACAGGCTGATTTACATACGTTAACAACGGAATCACTCACAACGTATTGACATGATTGTCTATTTGTGGTTCTTCAGTTGGAGAGTATTACCTAGAATGCGTGCTTTGCATTTGAATCCAGTCCAAGCCGCTTGAGTTTGTTCTGCTGATTGCTCTCTCATCTCACTTTCTTGGGAGGAATATGTTTACAGTAAACAAAAACAAACAAACATATCATTCAGTTTGTGTTTTCACTGTGAGGATTCTGGCTTGGTTATGTGTTGTAGACTATTTAAAATAGTTTATTAGATTATGAAGGAATTGACAGAACATCACTTTGTCCGTGAAGATACAGTCCGAGTTTCACACCGGTTGTAGGCAGGTCATGCTGTCCGATTAAGGGACTTTCTCTTCCAGGTTGTCTTAATAGTTTTTCTAGTGCATTGGTCTTGTTAACTGCTGTACTGCCTGATTGTTTTCTGTGGGATTACCAAATTAAAAGCAATACATCTATACCAATATTTTTGTTTCTAGGCTATATGCTGCCAGATCTGCTTGTTTTATTATCGTTTTTTTTATATAGTCAGAGTTGGCTCTAATCCATCTGCTTTTTCCTTGTTGATACATGTTGACAAACTCAATAAAGTATCTCTATTCTTTGATGATTACCCCCGTTTTAGAAGAGGAGTAGTTCCATTTGAATCAGTATTTTACTGTGTGTGGTAGGGCTCTGCGATCACCCTAAAACAGCATATTCTCTATAGATCCACAGTGTTATACAAGTCCATAGTGTCACAGTGCAGGCAGTTTTTAAGGGTCAAGGACTTTGTTCTTAAGAAACAAAAACACACACACAGCCTTTTTATCTGTGTGTGTGTGTGTGTGTGTGTGTGTGTGTGTGTGTGTGTGTGTGTGTGTGTGTGTGTGTGTTCATGTGATTTTCTCTTTTGAATTTCCTATGTTTTCAGGCCAATATGTTTAAATGTATGGGCTCATTTCTCTGTCCTTGGTGCTGAACAGCTGATGCACCTTTTTGTTTAGTTCTCTTCACACTTTCATCAACTTCACACCATTACTATGGTTTCTCTCTGTCTTTCACTATATGTCCCTTTCTGTCAAATGTTCCATCAGAATAAAGTCTGAGTTTCATGCAGGTAGTTTGGACAGGTATACAGAAGGAAATACTTTCAATTTCAGGTTAGATAGTTTTTCTGGGACATGTATTTTAGTAAAGGCTCTTCTGCCTGATGTTTTTAACTTGGATTTATTGTGTTTTAGTAATGTGTATTAACTGCAGGAGCCATGACACGTACAAAGTCATGCATTTTGAATATACACATTTGTTTTGTACTGGTTTGTATTATTATAAGATATGTGTTAGATCGCTATGGGTTGGTTGGTTTGAGTCACATGGTTATGGGCAGCACTCAGGGGAGTAATCATCCTGTTGACTTGCGTGAGGTGTGTGTCTGTGTGGCAGAGAGGGTGACACGGGGTCGTTGTACTTTTTGTGCAAGTTTAATGATTGCTTTGATTATCATAACAATATCTATGTCTAAGGAAAATAAGTTGATCATCCCAGTTTTCATTATTATTCAACAGAGTTTTGATCTCAGCGTGTCAAAGAGCAAACAGGCCCAGCCTCGGCCTCTCAGCCACTTTGTTTGTTTCCTGCTGTCGCTATAAACTGTTGTATACAACAGTTTATATGCTGCCTGGCCTGGTTGACTTTATTTAATTTTGGAGTTGGATTGTAGATACACATTCAGAAATTGCATAATTAATTTCTACTCTGATTAAAGGAGTTTTCCCTCTTTCCAGGAGAGGGGAAAAGATAGCTATTGTCTTTGTGTGTTCATATGACTGCTCTTTATGTCCTCTGTTTTCAAGTATGTTTGAGTGTCTCGGCTCATTCCTCTGTTCTCGATGCTGAACATCCCTTTTCCTTTCGGATGCTTTTTATTCAAGTTTCCCACACTTTCACTTTTTATTACAACACTATACTACTTTGGTTTCTCCCTGATTTCGAATACACCAAAAGGAAATAAGAAAGTGAAAATGAAGGTTAATGTTGTGATCAAACCACAGGGATACATTATGACTGGTTAAAGCTGTAGGTACAATATATGTAAACTTATAAACATCTACATTTTGTATTTATAAACATGTAACAGATTGTCACATAAATAATCCTTTGAACATTTTACAGACAGCTACAGACTCAGGTGCTCGGTTTTCCAAACGTTCACAACCCTGCAAATGTGACAATAATGGTTATAATGAATATGTTCTTTATTAGGAAATGTAGTTTCACCTTTTTTTCAAAGCAAGGAAAACAAATAATTAATATAAACGTTTATTAAAAAAAATACTGGCTTCTCGGTTAGCATGACACCCTGTCTTAAGAAGAGTATAGACTGGATACTCACAATAACTAAACATACAAGTAAAAACAATAATTTCATGAATTGATATGCAAGACAAGATATTAATGAAAGGCATAGCCTGCATATGCCTAATGTAACAAGTGCTTGTTGACACTGTTTGGTTAAACCTAAAGGATTGCGGTTGCACATATTTCTTGTGCTTCATAATATGTGTGTATTTAATAAACAGATTATAAGAAGTTTAACGCAGGATATGCTCAATTTGAAACCTTCCATTTTGTACTTTTTTAAAATGAGTATTCTTGAAAACCTCAAGGTGGCGCTATATACCCGCTTTAAGATGTCTTCCTGCTTCCTTTGGTGTGGACGTTCATTATTGTTCTCCTATCTATAGGATAGTCAGTAGATGCTATTCGTGTTATGTGGATGAGCTGTCTTTGTTCGCTTTTTTTTTTAGCCTGTTAGTAATTCATTGTTGATGATGGATTCCAACATAATCTCGTTTCAAACGTGTGGCTTCTATTTCCTCCTTATTTTCCTGGATCCCGTGTATGGAGACATGAGCTACTCTTTTCCAGAGGAAATGAAACGAGGGTCAGTTATTGGAAATATGGCGAAGGATCTCGGGCTGGAAAGGAGCGCGCTCTCTAACAGAAGAGCCCGCATTGACAGCGATGGGACTGATGAACGTTACTGTGACATAAACCTGAATAACGGAGAGTTGATTGTTGCCGACAGGATTGACCGAGAGGGGCTTTGTGGAGAAAAGGCTTCGTGCATCCTAAAATACGAGCTGGTGCTGGAGAATCCCCTCGAGCTCCATCGGATTAGTCTTCACATTCAGGATATTAATGATAACTCGCCACAATTTAAGGAAGAATTTATAAATATTGAAATTCGTGAGTCGGCAGTCAAGGGAGCTCGTTTTGTGCTGGAAGATGCGCACGATGCGGATGTAGGACAGAATTCAGTTCAGCAGTACAGCCTCAAAAATAATGATAATTTCATTTTGTCTGTTGATGGAAACTCAATAGAGCTTGTTCTTGAAAAGGAGCTTGATCGTGAAAATCAGCAAGAGATTAATTTGCTCCTCACAGCTTTAGATGGAGGCTCTCCTCAGAGATCAGGTACTGTAGTCATACACGTCACTGTGCTGGATGCTAATGATAACGCCCCAGTGTTTAGCCAGGCCGTCTATAAAGCCAGTCTGCCTGAAAACTCTCCTGTAGACACTGTAGTTGTCACAGTGAGCGCTACTGATGCAGACGAGGGAGTCAACGGAGATGTGACATATGAATTTGGACATGTTACTGAAGATTTCAAGAAAATATTTAGTATTGATAGAAAAGTTGGTGAGATACGAGTAATTGGTCCTGTTGATTATGAAATTACCAAATCATTTGAAATACGAGTTAAAGCAAAAGATGGGTTAGGGCTGTCATCTTATGCTAAGGTTATCATTTATATCACTGATGTGAATGATAACGCCCCTGTTATCAGTTTAAAATCCCTGACTAACCTCATACCTGAAAACTTGTCACCTGGTGCAGAGGTGGGCATCATTAACGTGCAGGATAGAGACTCTGAGAATAACAGACAGGTCCGCTGCTCCATTCAGCAAAACGTCCCTTTTAAGTTGGTTCCTTCTATTAAAAACTATTATTCTCTGGTGACCACAGGACAACTGGACCGTGAACTAGTGTCTGATTACAACATTACAATCACTGCCACTGACGAGGGCTCTCCCCCTCTGTCCTCCTCTAAAACTGTTCAGCTATCTGTAGCAGACATCAACGACAACCCACCTGTGTTTGAGGAGCAGTCCTACAGCGCATATGTGACTGAAAACAACAAACCTGGCTCCACTTTATGTTCCGTTACTGCTCGAGACCCCGACTGGAGACAAAACGGTACCGTGATTTATTCTCTGTTACCCGGTGAGGTGAACGGTGCCCCGGTGTCCTCCTATCTGTCTGTTAACGGAGACACGGGGGTGATCCACGCTGTGAGGACGTTTGATTATGAACAGTTCAGGAGTTTTAAAGTGCACGTGATGGCCAGAGACAACGGTTCTCCTCCGCTCAGCAGCAACGTGACCGTCAGTGTGTTCATATCGGATGTGAATGACAACTCTCCTCAGATACTGTACCCCGCCCCGGAGGGCAACTCCTTCATGACCGAGCTGGTCCCCAAAGCTGCACACGGAGGCTCTCTGGTGTCCAAAGTGATCGCGGTGGACGCGGACTCCGGACAGAACGCCTGGCTGTCCTATCATATAGTCAAATCCACTGATCCGGGACTTTTCACTATTGGTCTCCACAGCGGAGAGATCAGGACACAGCGGGACATTTCTGAGTCTGACAGCATGAAACAGAACCTTGTTGTGTCAGTGAAAGATAACGGACAGCCCTCTCTCTCTGCCACCTGCTCCATGAATTTACTTATCTCTGATAACTTGGCTGAGGTGCCAGAACTGAAGGATATTTCTTATGATGAGAAGAACTCCAAACTGACCTCTTATCTGATCATCGCGCTGGTGTCCGTGTCCACCTTTTTCCTCACCTTCATCATCATCATCCTGGGTGTGAGGTTTTGTCGCAGGAGAAAGCCCAGACTGTTGTTTGATGGAGCAGTCGCCATCCCCAGCGCTTATCTCCCTCCTAATTACGCAGATGTTGACGGAACAGGAACTTTACGCAGCGCTTACAATTATGACGCCTACCTGACAACAGGTTCCAGAACCAGTGACTTTAAGTTTGTGTCATCTGACAATGACAACACACTGCCTGCTGACCAGACTCTGAGGAAAAGCCCTTCAGACTTTGCTGAAGTGTTTGGAGATTGTGATTCTTCTCCTGAGGTAGGGACACAACCCATATCTTTAAATGTGTGTTCATCCTCCTGAAGTAGCTCTTCCCTGCTTTGTTCGGATTAATTTCTCCTTTGTAGTGTTTAGAGGTATAAATACACGCACAGCAACTTTTGTCAAATCTTGTATCAATAAATAAATAGCCATACATTCAAACACAGTTTCCTTTAAATGTTTTATTCTTAGTGAATTGCACATTAAATAGCTGGATAAACTCAAGGATTTGTTTTTATACTTCATCAGTTGTGTTGCATTATTGTCATTGTGTGTTTATATCCCTTGTTTCAGTCCATGTGCCTTCTGTGTTAAGCAGTTATTGCAAAGGTTTGTGTTTTATAAAATTATGTTTCCTCAACAAGCTTGTTGTTCAGATTTTTGAAATCTTTTATTTCAACCGGTTCCTTTTTTTTCATACAGTAAATAACTAACCTTAGGTTTATTAGATCAGAGTTTTGCTCGTTGTTAATTTACGTCACTTGATCATTTTTGTTTTCAATCAAGTTACGTAAATGAATCGATTCTTGAAACATATAAATTAGTTATACGAGAGTGAACTTGTCATGGAAATGTTTTGTTTTTATTCAAAGTCATCCGAGTTTTCATATTATCAAAAGTTTTCATTTCTAAATCTTTCAGATTGTCTGTAATGTTGTCATTTACTGTGGCTGATAGTTATTGGAGATGTCTTGTTATCTTTTGGTCAGCATAAATTAAGTTGATTGCTGATGTTGAGCTGGGACATTGGGCTATTCTTTTTGAGTTATTGGATTGGAAGTCATTTGCACATTGCTTTGGTAAAATGTGTCTGCCACATAAATACATTTACACGTTGATCTTACTCTTGAGGCCAGAGTATAAATCTTATAATATTATCCAGCAGATGTTTTTATATATACATTAACAGCGGAACGACTGACAATTTATTGATATGCTGATGCTACTAATTCTCGTTATTTAGGATGAGAGCATAACCAGTATTTTGTGTGTTATTGCATTGTAATCCAGTCCACAGCGCTTCAGTTTATTCTGCTGATTGCTTTCTCTTCTTACCACTGTGGTTGTGAGGAATAAATGTTGACAGTAAAAATAATACATATTATTAAACCTGTCTTTTCACTGTATGGCTTGGTTGTGTTTTGTAGACCTATTATGATAGATTTTCAGATTCTAACTTGACAGAACATCACTTGTTCATCAATATGCACTCCCAGTTTCACACAAGTAGTTTAGGCAGGTCATGCTGACAGAGTAAGGGACTTTCTTTACTTGTTCTAGTCTATTAGGTTTTGTAACAGGTTTTGTAACTGATTGTTTTTTGTGGGTATACCGGGTTAAAAGTGATGAGCCTTCATTTATTATCCTTATGCTGCCCAGTCTTGTGGTTTTTCAGATTAAGGTGAGAGGTGGATCAATGCATATTTTACTGTTTATGGTGTGGTTAAGCTTTGGGATCATCTTGAACCATATCTTCTGTTAATATGAATTGCACGTCTATATTATGGTACAGGTTAACTTTAAGGGTTGTGGTATTTTTTGTTGAACAGGACACTACTCTTAATGTCCTCTGTTTTCAGACAGAAATGTTTGACTGTCTGCTAATTTCTCTGTCCTTGGTGCTGAACAGCTGATGGAGGCTTTTTGTTTAGTTTCTCCACAACTTCACACAAAGAATACTTTGAGATCTTTTTCATCGGTAATTTAAATAAACCAAGCAATTTAGGAAATCCAAATGAAGTTAATGTTACAAAAAATGCAGATCCTCATAATGACTGGTTTAAGATGGATTCAAAAATATATAAATGCTTGTACAAAATGTAAATTATTAAATCTTTAAAGGGTTGTGTCTCATTGTAACTAATACATAATTTCCTTTAAAATATAAAAAAACAACTTCCCCTTTTAATCCAACTGAAGATGCACGTGCTCTGTATTCCACCTTTTTCAACCCTTCAGATTAGCTTATCTTGACTATAGTAATTTCCGCAAATGTAGTTTTACTACTTTTAAAAGCAGGGGAAGACATCCTTATTCACAGCATTACTAACAAGTCAATACAAATATGTAGATGTATTTATTTATATGTTGGCTGCACAGGATGCTATCAGATGATATAAACAGTGAATCATATACAATTCCTAAACAAAAGTATATATAGACTGGATCATCACAATAACAAAACATACGATTAAAAACAAATCAGATGTGTATATGTAAGAGATAAGTAGAATATTCAAAACCAAGATTATGTACTGGGACACTTGTTGAATTTATGAGTTTCCTGGTTTAAACTGAATGGATAAATGATGTTTCGAATATTTATTTTACATTATTATAGTTGTATTCAGAAGAGAACCGCAGGATGTGGTCAATTTTAAACCTTTTTTTTTTTAAATCAGTATTGTCGTCAAAATTAACTCACGGTGGCGCTATATGCCTGCTTTAAGATGATTGAATTCCTTTTCCTTCTGTGTGGACGTTCCTTATTCTGCTCTTGTGCCTACATAGGGACAGTCACCCTGGATTCGCTGTCCCTTGTGTTATGTAGTTGAGCTGTCTTTATTCTCCTTTTTCTTCAATCTGTAAGGAATTTATAGTCGATGATGGATTCCAACGTAATCTCGTTTCAAACGTGCGGTTTCTTTGTAGTGGTTTATTTCCTGCATGCTGCGTATGGAGACGTGAGCTACACTTTTCCAGAGGAAATGAAACGAGGATCAGTTATTGGAAATATGGCCAAGGATCTCGGGCTGGAAAGGAGCGCGCTCTCTAACAGAAGAGCCCGAATTGACAGCGATGGGACTGATGAACGTTACTGTGACATAAACCTGAATAACGGAGAGTTGATTGTTGCCGACAGGATTGACCGAGAGGGGCTTTGTGGAGAAAAGGCTTCGTGCATCCTAAAACACGAGCTGGTGCTGGAGAATCCCCTCGAGCTCCATCGGATTAGTCTTCACATTCAGGATATTAATGATAACTCGCCACAATTTAACGAAGAATTTATAAATATTGAAATCCGTGAGTCGGCAGACAAGGGAGCTCGTTTTGTGCTAGAGGAGGCGCACGATGCGGATGTAGGACAGAATTCAGTTCAGCAGTACAGCCTCAAAAAGAATGATCATTTCATTTTGTCTGTTGATGGAAACTCAATAGAGCTTGTTCTTGAAAAGGAACTTGATCGTGAAAATCAGCAAGAGATTAATTTGCTCCTCACAGCTTTAGATGGAGGCTCTCCTCAGAGATCAGGTACTGTAGTCATACACGTCACTGTGCTGGATGCTAATGATAACGCCCAGTGTTTAGCCAGGCCGTCTATAAAGCCAGTCTGCCTGAAAACTCTCCTGTAGACACTGTAGTTGTCACAGTGAGCGCTACTGATGCAGACGAGGGAGTCAACGGAGATGTGACGTATGACTTTGGACATGTTACTGAACATGTCAAGAAGTTATTTAGTATTAATAGAAAAGTCGGTGAGATACGAGTGATTGGTCGTATCGATTATGAAACTACCACATTATTTGAAATACGAGTTAAAGCAAAAGATGGGCTCGGGCTGTCATCGTATGCTAAGGTAATCATTTATATCACTGATGTGAATGATAACGCCCCTGTTATCAGTTTAAAATCCCTGACTAACCCCATACCTGAAAACGTGTCACCTGGTGCAGAGGTGGGCATCATTAACGTGCAGGATAGAGACTCTGAGAATAACAGACAGGTCCGCTGCTCCATTCAGCAAAACGTCCCTTTTAAGTTGGTTCCTTCTATTAAAAACTATTATTCTCTGGTGACCACAGGACAACTGGACCGTGAACTAGTATCTGATTACAACATAACAATCACTGCCACTGACGAGGGCTCTCCCCCTCTGTCCTCCTCTAAAACTGTTCAGTTATCGGTAGCAGACATCAACGACAACCCACCTGTGTTTGAGGAGCAGTCTTACAGCGCATATGTGACTGAAAACAACAAACCTGGCTCCACTTTATGTTCCGTTACTGCACGAGACCCCGACTGGAGACAAAACGGTACCGTGATTTATTCTCTGTTACCCGGTGAGGTGAACGGTGCCCCGGTGTCCTATCTGTCTGTTAACGGAGACACGGGGGTGATCCACGCTGTGAGGACGTTTGATTATGAACAGTTCAGGAGTTTTAAAGTCCACGTGATGGCCAGAGACAACGGTTCTCCTCCGCTCAGCAGCAACGTGACCGTCAGTGTGTTCATATCGGATGTGAATGACAACTCTCCTCAGATACTGTACCCCGCCCCGGAGGGCAACTCCTTCATGACCGAGCTGGTCCCCAAAGCTGCACACGGAGGCTCTCTGGTGTCCAAAGTGATCGCGGTGGACGCGGACTCCGGACAGAACGCCTGGCTGTCCTATCATATAGTCAAATCCACTGATCCGGGACTTTTCACTATTGGTCTCCACAGCGGAGAGATCAGGACACAGCGGGACATTTCTGAGTCTGACAGCATGAAACAGAACCTTGTTGTGTCAGTGAAAGATAACGGACAGCCCTCTCTCTCTGCCACCTGCTCCATGTATTTACTTATCTCTGATAACTTGGCTGAGGTGCCAGAACTGAAGGATATTTCTTATGATGAGAAGAACTCCAAACTGACCTCTTATCTGATCATCGCACTGGTTTCCGTGTCCACCTTCTTTCTCACCTTCATCATCATCATCCTGGGTGTGAGGTTTTGTCGCAGGAGAAAGCCCAGACTGTTGTTTGATGGAGCAGTCACCATCCCCAGCGCTTATCTCCCTCCTAATTACGCAGATGTTGACGGAACAGGAACTTTACGCAGCGCTTACAATTATGACGCCTACCTGACAACAGGTTCCAGAACCAGTGACTTTAATTTCGTGTCATCTTACAATGACAACACACTGCCTGCTGACCAGACTCTGAGGAAAAGCCCTTCAGACTTTGCTGAAGTGTTTGGAGACTGTGATTCTTCTCCCGAGGTAGGAATTGTTGACACCATTTGCACTGTGATGATCAAGCTGTTCAGATATGTTTGTCATTCTCTGTCTTTACACGACTATTTTAGACAATATAAGGTCGAGCAAAAATCATGGAACTTTACAAGTAACTAAGATCGATATTTAACGCATAAATGGGCTTTATAATGTGTAACTGCGGCCGTGCACACGGCCTCAAATTGAGCTGTTCTACTGATCAAATTGGCCCTTTAACTCAAATGTATCAAACAGCAAAAACTCCACAGATTAAATTAAAGAAACACGATACAGTTGGCAGTCAACAAAAAGGTTCAAGACAAGGATTTTCTCCCAAGAGTGTATAATATGTATTTATCAATATCAGACACATTTACAAACAATACTTTAACCAGTAAAAACAACAATCTATTATGAATTCTTCTACACCAAGAATGCTATTTAAAATTGTATCCAGCCTAAAACTGACTAAATGAGCTCAGACAGTTACTGTTGGGAGGGTGAAGCAAGCAGGTAAAATCTAAATATTACTCATCGCCACTCACACGACATGTGAGTGGCGGTGAGTAAGTGCCCTGTACAGACACAGCAACTGATAAGAAAGTGATACATGAAGAAAGGTGCACAATGAACTAAACACACACTTAGGGGCAGTGAAGTGAACGTGAGGGGCCTAACACCGCTGAATCCCAACTCCCAAGGCTGCCGCTCACGTCAGGGGTGCTGGATCCCTCAACAAAAGACACAAAACACAACAGTATATCAATTCATTGGATAAGATTCATTGAGATAATAATAACACTACTACTCTTGGGAGACTAGGAATTGGAGCAACAATGTACACAAAAGCATCAAAACAAACTACTATAACCAGGGATGCAGATAACAGGTACGCATGCGCGGCACAAATCTGAATTGCCTAACGTCACTTGTGTCACTACGCGCCTTTGCGTACCTCAAAACAAAAACACATATTTCGTCTACACGTGTTTCTTGTCAACACTCAACGGAGTAAACTACTAGTCATGTACAACAACAATACATTAAGCAGCTACGTTGCCGTTTCACTCCCTGCAAAAGATCTTCGGACTTTCTATGAAGCTTTACAGGAGGCAGAGGCTTAGATAACTGGACAACAGAGTTGGTCGCCGTGTGCACAGACAGGGTTAACGTCAGTATGAACAACATAATTGTGCCAAAACTTCGCCAACTGGCTGCAGTGGGAGACTCCCCTGTGCACATGCTGCGCCCCGCGCACACACACTGGAGAACTGCGCAAAATCAGCTTGATCACAACGTTCACGCTCTGTGGTCAAGCTGCTGCAGTTTTATTTAAAACACAGTTGCCAACGTACTCAGGGTTTTAATGGAAGAGTTTGGAATCAGACAGAGGTGGAGTACTCTGATATTGTTACTCTGTTACAGTAAAAGTCCTGCATTCAAAATGTTACTCAAGTAAAATTAGAAAAGTATTAAAACATTGATTCTGTTTTCTTCAAGTTGTATTTTGTTGGACGAACGCACTTATTGTAAGTCGCTTTGGATAAAAGCGTCAGCTAAATGCAATGTAATGTAATGTAATGTCATATTATCATCAAAATATAGTGAAAGTAGCGACAGTAAAAGTAGTCATTGTGCAGATTGGTCCATTTCAGAATATGATATGTTTTATAATTATTGATCATTAAAGTGTTATCAAAGCTGTTAAGGTGCAGCTGTAATGACTTTGTATACTGCAGGGTAGCTTGTAAATTTACTCCAGGTGGAACTAAAGTCTGATTTAAGAGTTGATTATATTTCACATCATTGATCCAGATCTGTAAAATAACTAAAAAGGTATTCAATACATGTAATGGAGTAAAAGTACACCATTTAGATAAGTACAAAGTAGCATCAAAGTCAAGTAAAGTACACATATCTCAAAATTGTACTTCAGTACAGTACTTGAATAAGTGTACTTAGTAACTTCCCACATCTGAAATCAGATATGATTTCAAGTCATGTGATAATATCTTAGTATTTGATCCTTCAACTTTGCCTCAGGAAATGCAAGGACTTCACAGTGTTGGCAACAAGTTTTGAAGAAAGCAATTCGGAGGCTTAAGAGACAGGGAGGTGCATCTTCATCATCTAGCATGCAAGAAATGTAAATAGACAGTGAAGTAGACACTGAGGAGGACCACGCTTCGTGTGGGGTGAGTACCAAACGCTGTCTCCTGGTCTGAGTAACTCCCTAAAAAAAGTTATTTGCACCTCTGACTATAACAAACCAAAATAAGGGAAACAAAACAGTAAAACAAAACAGCAGTGGCGGACAATCTATAGAAGAACAAAGCACATGTTACAGAAATGCCATAAACAGTCTTTGTAAAAACCATGATCGCTCATACCTTATGTCCCTCGGACAGCGCAGCCCCTCACACACAATACCGCTGGTCTTGTCACCGTCACGGGCAAAGCTACAGTCTGCTGGAGTAATGTGTAAAAGTCAAACACCCAGAGCCTAACATGCCACTAACTCGATAATTGTGGAGACTTACCGGAAACGTCTCGGTCGAACAGGAAAGAACTATCAGGTATCAGCTGTTTAAATATTGTTTACCAAGTGAAGGGAATGCAGAAGTGGGCGGTACCTCTGTTGCGCAATACTACTGTGGTAACCGCATGTAAAGCTAGTCACTGACAACGCCACCTCCTGCTAAGGGGCAGGAGGAACCCGTGGACCCTAAATGTAAGTGTATGACGTGGACCGATTTTAAAGCTTCCCTTAATAGGTTCAATTATGCCAGAGGCATGAATTCCAAAAATATACGCAGCTTTGTTTAACAAGTGTTGGAAACTGTTTAAAATGTCAATTCATGCAAAGTGTTAAAATGGCAAATATAATTCAACACGTATATAAGTTACCCTCCTCAGTTGGGCAGGCCTGGTCCGCTGGGTTGCAGTGCCTGCTAATCGTGAGGGACAAAAACAAGAAAAGCCACACACCAAAACAACGAAAGCATGCAATATTCAAACCACAATCTCTATAAAATAATAACAGAGAGATATTTAGCATAAAGAAAATAAAGTGTCACACCGTGCAGTCCCTACACTGAAGGCAGGCAGCGTTCCACCCGGGCCCAGGCGCCGCAGAGACCTAAGACACAAACAAGAAAATCATTTTTGCCATACACTGCACATGAAGAAAATGAACAATAAAATACAAAGAACACTATAGGACAGTGGCTGGCCTGGTCCTTTTTAAAAGGAAACAACATACTGTAACATGTTAGTTGCTTGCCAGCCTCATTCACCAACTCAATATAAAATTAAAGAGTTAAAAACAAGACATACTTTCACTGAGTTATTTTCCAACTCAGCTCGATCCTTCCGGGGAAATGGTCACTTAATATCCCGGGTTGCTGGGCCGGTTGTGTGCATTGAACTCTGTAAAACACATACATAGGTTGCTTAAAACACAATTAAAAACGCCGCTTTAAAACACCATTTAAAAGCAAATTGCTCGTAACAGACCCGGTCTCGTGCCTGTCGGGAGAATTTCCCTCCGACAACGGTAAAATATCGTCTTGCACTGGCCCTAATAAAACCCAAACTAAATGAGCCACCTTAAAATTGTTATTCCTACCTTTCTGAGAGGGAGAAGACCAGTGACCCTGCAGCCAAGAGAGACTTTCTTAAACTGACTGCAAACGTTTGATGACTTCCTGTTTACCCGGTCACCGGTCATGTGACCACATCAGGTGACACCGTCAGGTGACAATGACGTCAGATTCCCACACTACGGTGGCCGAAAAGTGGTTTACCTCTATGGTCGGCTACAAATGCATCACGATTCGACAGCATAGTTTATTTCTTATTAAGCAGGCGTTTGAAATTCTTTGGTGATTCAAGTAGTAATATATGTTATTATTGAAGCCGGTTTTTCCGTTCAAAACGGCTTCTGTGTTCCTACATTTGTTTTTTAAAGCTTACATTAAACTTGTCTCTCTCCTTGGTGCTGAAAAATCAAGTCTACCCATTTTCTTCGTTTTCTTTGCCATGCCTGTTATACGTTCTTACACACACACACACACACACACACACACACACACACACACACACACACACACACACACACACACACACACACACACACACACACACACACACACACACACACACACACACACACACACACACACACACACACACACACACACACACACACACACACACACACACACACACACACACACACACACACACACACACGTGGTTGCTCTTAGTTGTGTGCACTTTTACCAGTGAAATATACTTGACAGCTTCAGCTCATCTGTGTCCTTGCTGCAATGTTCTCTAGTGTAATTGTAGTGTAAGTATTGTCAATCCCTCGAGTTGAGACTTTATGTTACCTGCCTGAAAGGAGGTCAAGTTTGTCACAGTTGCCCAAGAAAAAAATGAACTGATGCCTTGTTTATTTTGAGTTCATTATTTTTTCTTAAATTAAAATTATAAATTGACTTTTTTTCCATAAAACAAATCATCCAGTTTTATTATTCAATAAAACATTTGTTTTCTATAGTTATAGTAACATTTAATAGATTTGAGTTCATTTAACACACATATAGGCCCTTTTTAAATATAACACATTTCATTCATTTACATCAACTATTAATATGCTCAGCAATTTAAGTGGTATCTCATTACAAGTTGAGAAAACGATGCAACGGTGTTTAAAACCCTCTGAGACCCACATAGGACATTTCCGTTTATGTATATTTTTGTGTTTTGCCTTATACATTGTAATTTATTTATAGTATAATCAAGTGTTACCCATCCTAGAAATCTGCACAACCTCAGCTAATGATATATGTCACTCATTATTAGAGATGTGTATACACTATAATAGGGGATATTTGCCCATAAATTAAAAACACGTTATAAAAACGGAGCTTGAATTTGTTACTTATTTTATTTAAATGAACTGATAACCACAACATTGAAAGAAACATTCAACACAGAGATTTGCACGCATGTATTATGATTGTATCATAACTGTTTAGAAGGTGAACTTCTTCTGTTCATTAGTTGAGTCAATTCTTTTGGGCAGTGTCCATGGGCGTTTTTTTGCCAGGAATTGTCATTTTTTGTCCTGCCAATTTTGAAGACTACACATGATATCATGGCAGTTCCTGTCCACAATCACACTCAGATTCGTCTGCATTTTCATGGACATCGTCACCTTGAAAAATCAGCTCCAACGCCTCAGCTGTAAACTTCCTTGCCATACCTCAGTTTACTTTTAAGACACTAAAATAACGTGTTCCAACTTTTATTTGGTTTTCGCGCGTGGGATTTTACCGGCTCTCGTCTCAGTATAATAAGAACGGTCTCAGTACACAAAACAATGGAACTGACAGGCAACCCTCTGAATCAGACTCCGATTGGCTGTGACTGCATCCACTCAGAGTGTCCGATTCAGAAACGTGACTCTTACACTTTACGTCACAAATAAAGATGGTGGATGATAATATATCTATAAAACATATTTTAAAACGTTACGCACATTCGTTTCACCGAAACAAGTAAACGCCTCTCAGTGAAAAACGTAATAGAGTTGTTCAGTGCCGTTTCTGTAGTTTAAGAGGAAAAGCACCGCATGTCATGGCTTAAACAGCTGAGAAGTTATGACGCTTATCAATCAACACATATAATATCAATGAAAAATAATCATTGTTACATTTACAAAGACGCGATTTTTTCAAATGTATATTTTCAGTTTATGATTTTCCTGTCCATCTTGTCAGAGACAAATGTTCATCTTGGTCACAGTGCAATATATTGTTAAAAATATAAGCAAATGTACTTTCTGTCTCATATCATACTGTCTACTGTTGCACTTGCAATAACCATCTCAGTCTCTTGGTGACGCTCTTTTATAATGTTTGGCTCACGGATGCTATGGCGTGTCTCACCTTATCTGTGTCAGTGGAACTGGAGTATTGAGTTAGAGCCCAGGGCTGTGTGTGCATGCTGTATGTGGATGTGTGGGTGTATGAGGGAGGGAAGAAGAGGGAGACTTTTTTTCCGTGAGAGAGAGGCAGAGAGGGAGCGAGAGAGAACGAGCAGTAATACAATTGGGACAGAGAGAGAGGCATCCAAGCAGACAGCTTTCCTAATAGAGCATGATTAACGCAGCTAGAGAAGCAGGGAACCGTTGGATTCAGCAGCATTTTTTGTTCGCTACTTGGATGTCTATGTTTAGGATTTAGTTGTAATGGCGACTGTACAGCTTTTTCTTAAAGCATGTTTAATAATGGACCAGCGAGTAAACTTAAAATGGTGGCTGCATTTTCTATTAGTTTGCATGCTTTTTGGAATGTCGTTTGGAGAAGTCCGTTACATCCTTCCAGAGGAGATGCAGCGGGGATCGGTTATCGGGAACGTTGCACGGGATCTGGGACTGAAAGTAACGGAGCTTGATGCTCGTCGAGCCCGTGTTGTTGCAGAAGGAACTAGCCAGCTGTGTGAACTGGACACTGCGTCAGGCAATCTTTTGATCACCCAACGGATAGACCGAGAGGAGCTGTGCGCGCAAGCCATTGTCTGCATCCTACAGTACCAGCTCCTGCTTGAAAATCCTCTGCAAGCATACAGCTTAGTTTTGGATATTGCTGACATAAATGACAACAGCCCAGTTTTTGCTGTAGGGAAGATACAACTAGATTTAGTCGAATCCACAGTCCTGGGGAGGCGCTTTCCACTGGAGATTGCGCATGACCCCGATCTGGGAACAAACTCAGTCCGTGAATATAAACTTAGTCCGAATGATCATTTTGCACTTGAAATTAGTACCCAAATAAACGGCAATGCTTATCCTGAACTAGTTCTTAAGAAGGCCTTGGACCGAGAGGCACAGGCTGAACATGTACTGAAAATCAATGGAATTGACGGGGGAAATCCAGTCAGATCAGGAACTGCTTCTATCCATATCCGTGTTTTGGACGCCAATGACAACGTCCCAGTTTTTAGCCAACAAGTTTACAAAGCCTCTGTCCCAGAAGACTCTGCCATAGGGACTGTCATAGCGAAGCTGAATGCAACGGACTTGGATGAAGGTCTTTATGGAGAGATAACATACACTTTCAGTCACCTGTCAGACAAGATAGGAGGGGTAATTGAAATTGACCCTGTGAGTGGAGAAGTTCGGCTGTCAGGTGCCATTGACTATGAAGATGCCAGTACGCATGAGCTGGATGTTCAGGCCAAAGATGGGGGTGGTCAGGCGTCTCACTGTAAACTTGTCATTGACGTCCTTGATGTCAATGACAACAAACCCATTATAGAAATAAAATCAGCCTCAGCTAACGTGGTTGAAAACTCTAAACCAGGAACTATGGTTGCTCTGATTAACATCTATGACCTGGACACAGGCAGCAGTGGGCGTGTCACGTGTAGAATCCAAGATGGTGTCCCATTTAAGTTTGTATCCGAGGTCAAAAACTACTACATGTTAGTGACTGACGGAATACTGGACAGAGAACTTCAACCCCAGTATAACATTACAGTCACTGCCACTGATGCTGGATCCCCCTCACTCTCCAGTGTAAAAGTTTTAACAATTGTGGTCAATGACATCAATGATAACCCCCCGACTTTTACGCAGAGGGAGTACAATGCCAACATCCTGGAAAACCAACCTGTGGGCACATTTGTGATGAAAGTAAAAGCAGAGGACATTGATGACGGATCTAACGCAAATATACTGTACCAATTATCAAAGGACACAAAGTCAGAAGTGTCCTCCTTCCTCACCATCAACTCTGACACAGGAGAGCTCTTCACTTCCCTTCTATTTGATTACGAACAGGCAGTTCACTTTCAAATTAAGGTGACAGCTCGAGATGGAGGGGATCCTCCTCTCTCCTCCACCTGCACTGTTAACGTTTTCATTAAGGATCAAAATGACAATGCACCTGTTGTCCTATATCCTGTCCAAAACACCGGGTTCATTGCTGAGGACAGGGTGCCAGTTGAAGCTCCTAAAGGCTACCTGGTTACTAAGGTGGTAGCTGTGGACGCCGACTCTGGCCATAACGCCTGGCTCTCCTACAGAATAATCAAAGCAACGCGGCCTAACCTGTTTATGGTCGGTCTGCATACAGGAGAAATCAGAACTGTGCGAGCCTTCATGGAGGAAGATGAACCAAAACAAACTGTTGTTGTTTCTGTGACGGATAATGGGCCAGCATCTCTGTCCGCCACCGCTACAGTCAGCATAGAGATTAGTGACGGGCTTGCTGTTTTAAATGAACTCTTTGAGTTTGCAGATGCGTCACAGGACAGCAATAACTTAACGCTCTATTTGATCATTGCTCTGTCAGCTATTTCTGCTCTCTTTGTGCTGTTAATCAGTGGTGTGTTTTATTTTAAGCTCTGCAGGCATAGTTATGTTTACCGTTCAAACAATGCTAGTCTCCCCATGTTTCCCACTACCTACTGCCCCCCTAGTTTTACAGATTTAAACCGCTGCGGGACCCTGATGAAAGATGAACGGTACGATTCCTTTTTGACCACTGGGTCTTGGAGAGGCGATTTTCGTTTCGCCTCAAGCACAGACACTGACACTCTGAAGCAAAGAAGTGCAGCCTATCAAAAACACACGCTAAGGCGCGCGAGTACAGATAGGGCTACTCTGAAAGTGAGGGCAGGGGTTCCGCAGCCTTGTTATGTATTT